ATCAGATCTCTGATATAAGATGGAGCTTGGCCATTTAAGGCTTTATATGTGAGAAGGAGGATTTTAAATTCTATTCTGGATTTAACAGGAAGCCAATGAAGAGAAGCCAGGATAGGAGAGATATGATCTCTCTTAATTTTCATCAGAACTCTGGCTGCAGCATTTTGGATCAGCTGAAGGCTTTTAACTACAGTTTGTCGACTTCCTGATAGTAAAGAATTACAATAGTCCAGCCTTGAGGTAGCAGATGCATGGACTAGTTTAGTTTTTTTCTTTGGTTGATTCTTTAAGCCAATATTTCTCTTCCTTCTTCAATCTGAATGATAGAAATGACTATTGATAAGTGTTACACACTTCTCAGTTTAAACCAAAAGAAACATTTCTTAATAAAATCATTAATGATGGACCTCATGGGCGCGACGGTTCTGCATTCACTGTGCAGAGGCTTAGTCCTCGGTGCGGTTCGATTCCCAGCCTGGTGACCTCTGCTGCACGTCTTTCCCGCTCACTAATCCCGTTTTCTATCTGCATACTTTCATAAAATAGCAAACATATGATCTGAACACATGTTTGTTGAACTGGCTAATGCAGGATAGCAGAACTTTTCAGCGTGTGACCAAAAAAAAAAAAGCCTGGCTGCATTATTCCAGGAAAGGACTGGAGCTTTCTGTTTGCATGTGCTAATCTAACTGATGGGTGTTCTTTCATGTCCTAGCTAAACCAGGCGGCCGGGTCAGGTGCCAGTACTTTCCTGCTGTTGACAAAGTGCTTTTTGTGGACGACTACGCCGTAGGGTGCAGGAAGGACTTGAACGGCATTCTGCTCCTGGACACGGCCCTACAGCCACCAGTCGCCAAGCCGGAGGACACGGTTCAGCTGGAGCTGCCGGTCACCGAGGTAAGAGTCTACTGCATGAGTCAAAGCTTCAAGTGAGAATAAACCGGTTAACTATAGTAAGTTACCGGTCGCTCCAATACTTCTGCTTAGGGATCCTTTAAGTTTCATCCTCCATCAAAACCAATTTCTTCAGTGTTTTATGGTTATGATGTATCGCTGCTATTTCCAATGTATTCAGCTGGAAGTGGCAAACTGCTGAAGCAGCTAGTTTACATACAAAGTCAATGGTTGAAGCACATCTTGCTGCAGCAAAAGGTACCGCAGCGCGTTTAGAGCACCAGGAGCAGCGCCTCGTGTTCTTCTGAGCTTCTGACGCGATTTAGAAGCAGATGCTGGAGTTGGAAAATTGGAACTTTTGCTGCTGGACGCACCACATCAACTAATCAAGGAAGTGATCTGGGAGCTGGCAGGGAGACAGACGCAGCGCTGCTGATGCAGAGCGCTATGATCACTCCACTGAAACAGTTTATTAACGCCTTAATTAACTGAAAATGTTTAAACCTGCCCACAAAATAT